AATAATGGATAATATATATATAAATTGTTATATATATTTTATCCATTCATTGTTATATATATTTAGGATTTCTTCAATTTTTCTATTGTTTATATTTGAATATGGTTTTGCACTGAATGCTGCTTTACATTTATAGCCCCTATGTATTGTTTGTCAGTTTTGTTTAGTTTTTTTACTCAATTGTTACAGTTAATATCAGGTTTCATTTGTCAAGTCAAATGTATGTTATTATAGATGTTGCGTATGGCCAAATGTTATAATTGCAATTTTGTTCAAATGCCTTTTTCATAAAACTTCCGAGGTATTCCTTTCCGAGGTATTACTTGGCGATTATGTATCGTTCGCAAACTTGACTTGTTATAGCTTGTTGTTGTTGTTTTTTGATCTTTATAATTGCTTGCATTTCGATATGCTCATTTATTGACTTTGATTATAATATATGATATAATATATGATATAATATATAATATATGATTATAATATAATACTGTCGTAGGACGTTCCCGCGGTCGCGTGCGCCTTGCCGCAGAACTGCGCGCAAGATCTGCGCTCAGCGCTTCGAATCAACACCTCCTTTCGCCAACGCTTCTCTAGTATCCCGTCTCATCTGGATGACCGTATGGTCTTTTCACCATCCCTTCGCGGTATTGTTTTCTTATTTGCCTTGTTAATTCTTGTTTTATGTTGTAAGCGAAAAATAAAACTGTTATATCTTATATCTTATATCTTATACTAGGATATAGTTGATATAATCACTCTCAGCATAAAAACCCGTCGTTCACGTGAACACAGTTGTTCACGAAAATCTGTGTGCAGTTAGTCATGAATTCTCGCCGTTCACGTGAACACCGTCCTTGATGAATTCCCGCCGTTCACATGAACACCATCGTTCACGTATAGATTGCCGTTCATGAAATCCCATCGTTCACGTGAACCTCTTGCAGACGTTCCGCAGAGCGTACAACCGAGCGAAGTTCAACGTTGGCTAGTAGCAGCGAGGCGCTGCGCAGTTCGACTCCTACAGCTGCCTCGTGTGTCACGATGTCAACCTGCTGTCGATGGACAGCCGCAACCTGTACGCGTGCTCGCGGCAGCCTCATCACATGTCCAGCTCCCTCGCCACGTTCCGCTTCAAGTGAGTGGCCGTGCCTTACGTGACGGGGGACGCGCGAGATCTACCGTAACTTCGGGGGTGCGCGCCGGTCCCGGAATAGCCGCAAAGTCCCGCTGTCTTGAAATTACATTTACAGCAGTATGGATGCATGAGATTTGCTGCGGAGCAGGGGGTGCTGCCGGGTCCCGAAAGAATCGCAATGTCCTGTGGTCATAAGATGACATTTTCTAGGTGTGGAGAGTCCTGGAAAATAGCCTACGGTCCTGGAAAGTCCTAGACAGCAGAATATATATATTACTTCCAGAAAATTCTTGAAATCAAGCTCGTGTATCTGGGCTGCGAGGCAACAAATTTAGCTTCGTGCTAGCATTTGTTAACTGGTCGCTGATTAAGTGATGTGAGCCACAAAAGATTGTATTTGGATGATATATTGTGGTCATGGAAAATGTACATTTTAATTCATGAAAAACTCGTGGAGCCTTAGTTATCCAGACTAGTAGATGTGAATTGCATATGGAGCTCTGTAACAGTGGAGAAACGTGTTGAACGATCACTCTGTTCAAGCGTGTATATATAAATAATTTTATATAAAATACTGCCTGTGTTTCGCATGGATGGTGTATATGGTATGTCTAGTACTGATGATGTAATCTCTGCTATTCGGATTTATTTTTACAATTTTATTTACCCCTTTACTTTAGTTCTGCCATCCTATTCCGCCGTGGTGAAGACTGCCTGCAAATATACTACGTAAAAGAGATGTAGGGAAAGTAAGGAAACTGTTAAGTTTTGTATTTTACGGTCTCGCTCATTATTTTACTCATATCATTATCATATATCATGCTAATCAGGTACGTAAAGCTTTTATTTATTAATATATTCGTCTGGTGTTTCAGTCTACCTTACATGAAGTTGTTCGGTGGAGCAATCGCAATCTCGGTGGAACAATTCAAGACCCACAGTGGCTTTGCTAATAAATTCTTCGACTGGGGTGGGGAGGATGACGATACGTATGAGAGGCAAGTAGATTGATATTCGTTATGTGGGTTGTGTGCGTATTTTTGTCCATTTAAATTTTATTTTCTAACGTTCCTAATTTTATTCTGTTATTTAGATATCTCGGACGTCCACAGTACGGACATTAGAAATTTGCAATAATAAAGAAAAATAAAAAATAAAAAAGTGTTTTCCCGCAGGGCATTTGACCCTGCAACGCATCTCAGTACCCGCCCCTATGGGACGTGGCCATTCCGCATTAAATTTTCTGTTGTGTGATGGCCTAATGGTAAGTGACAAGGTGATCAGCTCAGTAAGATCACATATATATATCTGCCTCAATAATGTCGATTATCTCCATCCTTTAAAAGCTTACGGGATAGTGATGAACACTATTGTTGCCATCTTACGAACAGGCACACACACACACACACACACACACACACACACAAAAGCGCGCAGACCCACGCGTTACGCACACACGCACGCGCAGACACGCAGACGTACACGGGCACACACGCACACGCACACGCGGACACGCGCACGCACACGTACACGCACACATGCACACACGCACACGCACACGTGTACACACGCACACACGCCACGCACACAGATAGGCCTACACACGCATATTATATATATATATATATATATATATATATATATATATATATATATATAATAATATAAAATATATAATTATATATATATATTTATTACGCCACCAGATTACTTAAATTCAATAATTGTAATGGCGATATCAAATAACCTAATTGGTTGTGACTACAAATAGCACAAAAATGCATTGTACTTTACACTGCAAAAAATGTTAAGAATAAGAAATAGTGTATGACGTGTGAGAATTATGTACTCGCCACACACACGCGCACGCACGCGTGTGCGCACGGGTGCGCGCGCGTGTGTGCAGTTTGAGTGCGTGCGTGCGTGCATGAGCACCTGCGTGCGTACGTGCGTGAGTGTGTTTGTGTTGAATGCCCCCCCCTAGAATTCTCTCTTGCCGTAGGGGTCGAATGTAAGCACGCAGCGTATAGTAGTAGCAACGCAGTAGTATATACAGCGTGTTAATTGCTCTAAAGCAAGGACACTTTACACCACCTCGCCCAACTGCGCTGATGTTCACGGTCATGCATGCAGAGCCAAGGAGGTTAGGTGCTGCGCATGACGGATCGAACCCACGGCGAGGTTGAACAATAAACACTTGGCTACCTTGACCATGGTAATTCTACGCTGATAGCCACACACAAAATAAAAAATAAATAAAAAAAGTCAACACAGTGAATTCCATTAATGTCCAGATTACAGTAAATTAAACGGCACACACATACGGGACGTGTAACGGACATTGTAGAGGTGTGGCGCATCGGTGTAAACAATGATATCAAGAACCTTCTCAATACGCTCTTGATGATATCAGGAGTGTATCAATATTGATACGCTCTTGATGATATCCCTATCGTCATTCTCTCCGCCTTCTCTCTCTTCCCCCTCCCCCTTTCTCTCTCCCTCCATCTCCCACCCTTTCTCACCCTCTCTGTCTGTTTGTCTGTGTTTCTAACTATAAGGAAACCAACGGTTCATAGAAAATTCTGCCTATCCAGGGCCGTAGCCTGCGGGGGGGGGGGGCAGCTGCCCCCCTAGATTTTGAAGCCAAAAAAAAAAAAAAATTTATCTACTAAAAAAGAATTGTCGTAGTCAGAATGAATGATGACATGTACTCAAAAGTGCCTGAAATACCATCTCCTGCCATCTACATTTTCAAGATTTGCTGTGGGAGGACATCCCCCCCCCCCGTTTCTCACTCCCTCCTTGAAATCCTGGATCCGCCGCTCCCTCCCCTAGGAATTTGCCCAGCCTACGGCCCTGCTGTCACTGTCTTTTTATGTTCATAGAAATGTTGAGAATTCTAGTGATTTAATGGCCATGTGCTCATCTTGACACCCCTCTCTATTCGATCGTGCATGAACGCTACTTTTCATGTTAGCAACTCGTCCGGAACGACATGCACTATCAGTGTTGTAGTCAGCTGCTGGCATGCTACCGGTTATGCAGAACAGTGCCATAATATGTCGGTGATGTTTACATGCAATTTCTCTATCTTCACAATACGCTAACACCCTGCGAATGGTAATAAATGTGAAAGCACGCTGGGATTGCTGACTAGTGTTGTACGCTCCGATGTTTCAGGACGCTTAATTTACACCTAACAGGAATAATTATGGTAAGTAAACAGCTATCTGTAGCAATGTAAACAACATTGAAATCAATGAATTTGTATTTGATAATATCGTGTAACAGTCTAAGGCTCCAGACGGCTCCATGCTATGTTACGCTCCTTCTTCGTAATCCATGCCACTGGTTTAGCTATAAGGTGTAGTGCTATCTTTCGGAAGTTGAAAATTTTAACTAATTCATACCGTTAATATTAACCGTACAATTCAGTTCAACCGTAGCGTTATTGTTTGGATACGCCGGAAAATGATTTCTATTTAGTTTATGTAATTGTGATCAGTTAGAATCCACCTATATTCTTGGTACAGTAATGACAGCAAGGATGGGGGTGAAACTCCATTAGGAGTGTTCCCAACTTTAATGTCATTAATGGTTATATGGTTATATGGTTATGTTATAGGTTAGGGTTAGGGTTAGGGTTAGGATTAGGATTATCAATCATTAATCATTAATGATTAATGATATCAAAGTTGGGAACACTCCTAATGGAGCGTTAGCCAAAAATCCAGCAATAGTGTGTTTTGGACATTAATTTACATACGTATTATAGTTAAAATGCTGTGCCTTATGCTGGCCGCATACCTGCTGCTGTCGTTACTGGGAGAGCTAGAAGGAAATTCACAGATGTGGCTTCGTTTGCCTTCACGGGGCATTCCGCGTGCTACCCGGAATCAGATTTTAGAAGCGGCCAGCAAAGCTGGAACGACAGGTATCGTACGACATATCGCTAAATCCTTTATAATCGTCCTCTATAAAACTAGCAAACGTAGAAAGAAAGAAATGAACTACGTTTGGCTGATTTGTAAGTCTGCTTGAAACTGCGCAGTTTTCATATTAAAGCCAAGCTTAAACAGAAATGTAAATTGGCGTGCACTTGTTGCAGATAGTCCTAGCATACAGCTTAGAATTGTTGGAGGCAGAGACGCCCAGATATGTGAAGCTCCGTATACGGTAATAATATCATGGTTATAAGGCATAGCAACAATTTTAATGACTTATTCTAATGTGTTGATAAACATTTAAGATACTTAATTCTGTTTTGAATACTACGGACTTTATTGCATCACACAAGATCAGTAGCAAATAATCGGGTTCTATTATCTTCTCCCGATGGGATAATAATCTACATAAGCTTTCGGATACAGAAGCTACATAATAATAAGATGACGGAGCATGGTTGAGAAACTAAAGGTTAGTTCCGTGTATAATGAATGCTAGCGCGATAAACTTGAGGCGACGAGGTCAGTTTATGAACGCATCATCAGTTGTAAACACAGAAGGACAACAATATGCTACAACCGTTATTATACTATCACAGAGAAACTGTTTTCTTCTTCAGGTCGCTTTATTGGACAGATCAGGAAGTCAGTTCTGCGGTGGCACTTTGATACATCCATCTTGGGTGGTTACCGCAGCCCACTGCGTGTTCGTAAAACAATCATAAACATAATAATTGTGACATAAATAATATATTTATTAGTGTAATCAATGACCTATTTATATAACACGCAGCGTGAATTCTTGCCTCGTACGTAGCCGTTGGGGCTTTTAGGGATGCATTTTCCGCCTCTAATTTTAGTGGTCGAAGTCCAAATGGAATGAATATTCTTCACGGAAGCACTTTCTTATCTACTGGCGGAACCGAAGTTAGCGTGAGTAGACAACATTGCACCCCATTCGTTAGAAATAGACCGCAGTCTCGCGCAAACGCGGTCATATCCATATATAGGTCAATGCTTTATGGCGCGTGTTTTCGAAACCGACATACTTCTACTATTACTCCTACCAAGAAATACTCCTCTTCCTTATTCGCCTTCTCTTCCCCTCTTCTTCTTCTTCTTCTTCTTCTTCTTCTTCTTCTTCTTCTTCTTCCCGTTGTTCCAAACACATTCTGAGGGTTTTCGATTTCGCAGGTTGCCGACGTAAGACGTCATCAAAGCTACAAGCATTCAACCGAATTGAATGACATCGCCTTGCTACGGCTGTCCTCGCCGGTGACGTGTGACGAAAACACGAAAGCTGCGTCACTGCCGCGGCGGTCTGCACCGCCGTGTGTTGGCTGCGTAGGACGAGCTAGTGGCTGGGGATCGTTGTCAGAAGGTATAATTAGCCGCTGTGCAACAGGAGATAATCACTGGTACGTGCGTACAATGAATTCGTGCAAAGTTTAAATGTTGCAAAATTTCCAGACAAGTTCTTCTCCCAGACAAGTACGAAATATTATTGAACCGAATACATATCCGCACAGCCTCGATATCTCTGCCATGCATGTAAATTATATGACGCCGGCTATCAAGTTGCTTATAATTTATACAACCGCAAACCTGTTTCAAATACCTGCCATTGCAGAATCTGTCGGATGGAATTATGCCATATTAGTTCCGCCGACGAGGCCACGAACTATGGCCACCAAGACTATATTACAGAATAGCGTAATTAACGCTGTTACGCACCATGATTCTTCGAGATTATAGGCTGAGTAAAGTCTCGCGTTGTCGACGCGAGGTTGACTGATTGTGAATTGTGAAAGCAGTGTGTTTGTGTGCGCGCGTGTGTGTGTGTGTGTGTGTGTGTGTGTGTGTGTGTGTGTGTGTGTGTGTGTGTGTGCGTGCGTGCGTGCGTGCGTGCGTGCATGCGTGATTGCGTGCGTGAGTGTGTGTGTGTGCGCGCGCGCGTGTGAGTGTGTGTGCACATAAAAGTCGACATGGATTACCAATATGGATTTGATGTGAATTAATTACTATAACTCTAGCTGTGATGCTACGGACATTAATTCGTAGGTGGTGCTGATCCGGAAAACATGCAAATCGTGAACCTCACGGTCATCGCCAACAGCGACTGTGCGGATGTGTATGGTGATGATAGTATTGCAACTAGCATGATGTGTACGGAGGCTGATGGAAATCACGACACATGCCAGGTTTATCAAGAGACGTCAATAGTTATGACTACCATTATATAATGATAGTCATAACTATATATATAAAATATTTTATATATATATATATATATAAATATGTTACACTGTAGTCGTACCATATATATATATATATTACCAACTTGTAAGCGTTAGCACCTCTATTGCGACGCAGATGCGTATATTAAGGGATCAACAAGGATCTAAATTTAAAGAAATGTTTTGATAGCAAGCGACGGCCGATATTTTGTATGAGGCGACACCCATTAAACATTCTATCACATAATTATGTTTAATATCAATAATATATGAATCTTCGACTTGATGATGTTCACGACGACTCCAATTCCGGAGAGGTTTGTTTGTACAGACACACCAAAACACACCAAATACAGATAGGAAACAGATTATGTGCAACTAATATGCTGTTCTTTTGTTAACAGGGAGATTCTGGGGGCCCTCTGGTGCAGATTAGCGACTTGACGCACAGCTTGATTGGCATCACGTCGTGGGGAGCTCAATGCGCCTCTCAGACGTTTCCTGGAGTGTACACGCGGGTAGCAGATTTTGTTGACTGGATATACGACAACACCAACAATGTAGACTTTCCCACATTCGGAGATGCGTGCGCCCTGGATAGGATCAAATGTTCTGATCCGATCCCGCTTACCACAGAACCTACCACAGAGCCTACCACAGAGCCTAGCGCACCCCGATATCCATATAGACCTTACAGACCTCACCCACATTACTATAAACCCTATGGCAGATACCCAGGCAGATACCCTGGCAGATATCCTGGCAGATACCCTGGCAGATATCCTGGCAGATACCCTGGCAGATATCCTGGCAGATATCCTGGCAGATACCCTGGCAGATATCCTGGCAGATACCCTGGCAGACGCCCAGGTCGACTTTCGGGCAGACGCCCTTACAGGCTCCCAGACAGACGCACCGACAGACATCGCCAAGAACACACCGACAGACGTCCCGGTAGAGACTCCGACAAGTCCGGCGGTAGAACGAGAAACACCGGCAATAGTCGGCAACCGGAAGATAACGACAGGAGCTCCACCAGGCGAGTGACAGACGGTGAAGACGGTCGGAGACGCACACGCACGCGAAGAACAAGTCAATCGTGAAGCACGGAATATACGTCGCACGAGGCGAGAATTTTCGAATGCTGTGTAAACAAGAGCCGCAAAGCGTCTGGGCTCATCTGAGGTCTGTTGCTACGGTTATAAACGTAACATTTACATCGTGCGTAGTGACACCTTTGTTAGGCGCAGATATGCATACGCAGTTGCGTACACATCATTTCAGCAACCTTCTGCATTCTGCATACCTCCCAAATCCCATTGGTTGATACAAAGCGCGTGCATGAAACTCCTCTTTTAGGGTGCATTGTGACCCTAACCATAACCTTATTAAAATAAAATAATTGTTGTAAACATTATTTGTTGTTATTAAATTGTTGTAAATAAATCATGTAAATATTTGCGTTAATTGGAAAAAAATAGTTAAATGGATAAAGATAGAAAAATACAGAAAACAGGTAAATAATAAAAAATCTGATTGGATTCGATCAAAGGACCTTTGATCCGTAATCCTGTCCTGTACCCGTTGGGCTATCCAGACATATTGGATTTCTAGATTATGGATGTGCCATGAATATGAGAACACTGGACATCATTGAGGCAGTTCAGGAATCCATGTTTAACCCTCATCTTGAGGGTCAAAAGGTTATCAGACACTTACTCTTCGCACGTCAGTGGAAAGCACATTTCATGGTCCTTTCAATAAAGTGATAAAAATGGTACGTCAGCGCTGAAACAAAAAAGTTTTTCACTCTGTCCATTAGGCCATGTCCTCAGAAAATGTCTGATATCTGACCTTTCCCCCACTGCCATTTGACCTGTGACCTCCAATTTCGCACTGTTGATGGGTTTCCTGCCCATCACACTATACACCGAATATTAAGAGCTGTTGACGGACGCACGCACGTACAATCATGCGATTCTACAAGCTGCATCTGACTACGTCAGATGAGCTAACAAGAATCCTACAATAAAAAGACTAACTGATAGATAGAATGTGTTGTTAAAGTGTCGATTGAATAATAGTAGTGTCACATGTATCAGATGAGAATGAGTAGCACAACAAACTAGTGCGATATGTCAATACCACAATAACAGTGTTCGAATACATCGTTGGGATATTAGTGTGTAGGTTTACGTAACCATAATAAAATTATTTTTCGGTATGCTATTTTAACAGATATATCTTTTGAAATAATATACCAAAAAATACATTCATTACCAGACTAGTTTAATATATCTTAAATTGCTGATTCAGGTTTATAATAACATTCACTTTGTCATAATCTCTATTTAACCTTACTGTCTATAAAGGCATCACATAAAACCAACCTATAGTCTAAATAACATTTGAGATCATTTCATCGTTTCAAGTCAATTACATCAACGTGGGCTTCTATGTATGTCCTGCAGGACCACATGTGCTAGATAGTGATCGGTGAGACAGCGTCATATAATTCATTTGAAGATGATTGCTAGATCAGTGGGTTTCAACCTTTCTTTGGACATTTCGCAAACGTTACTATAGACCACTGCGTCTCTGATTTCGGTTGATGTCTGAGGTATAAAATCGCTGTCTGAGATAAACATAGCTCGAGTTTATGCATGCCCGTACCTACTCTAGCTTACAGTCATTATTGTAACATTTAATATTAAACTACGTATGAACACATCGTAATCTGTTGTACAGTTTGCAGAATCTTTCTAAAAACCAGGAAGCCGCTGACAAAGATATTTCAATCGCAACCACAGTCGTAATTGTTATCATAGAATTAACTAATATCGTAACAACAGTCGTAGAGCCTAACTATTATCGTAGCATATCCGATCTGTAATATTCAGCTCGCAGCATCACGCCCTACGTTCTGCGCTATGCTAATGTACAGGAAGAGGGCACTCTTGCGTCGGTCACCGTCGACTGCAGAGAATTTTCTTCGGCCGTTCTTATACGTTGAAAGTGTAGCCGGGCGGGCCGATATCCCGTGTGCTTGGTAAAATCCGATCCATTATATTCACTTTACTCGCAGCATCACGCTATGTGTTCCCCGATATACCTATATTAATGTACAGGAAGATGGTGCTCGTGCGTCGGTCGCCGTTGACTGCCAAGAGAAATTTCTTCTCCCGTTCTTATACGTACAAAGCGGAGCCGGGCGGGCTGACAGCACGTGTGCTTAGTAAAATCCGATCTGTAATATTCACTTTGCTCGCAGCATCACGCCCTGGGTTCCCCGCTATGCTAATGTACATGAGAAAGGTGCTCCGACGTCGGTCGCCGTTGACAGCCAAGAGAAGTTTCTTCGGCCGTTCTCATACGTTAAAAGTAGAGGCGGGCGAGCCGACAGCACGTGTTTACCTGACTCGCAGCATTACGCCGCATTTACGCGCGCGCACGCACACAAATACACACACACACACACACAATTTTTAACGACACATTTATTACATACGGGTAAGGTACAGCGCTATCTCAGATATGTCATTAGGATACGGATTTAACACATTAGAGCATGTTATACAGCATTGCACCACGCACTACGACTTTTATAATTGATTACATACTTAATTACAGTGATTTCATAGCTACGTTAAAGCAATAAACGTTTCACTTGAACAGACTTGTACATGCCGGCCGGAGCATATACCAATTCAAATAGAGCTATACAAATGTACTAGTGAGCATAGCTACCCATGCCCATGAAACGACAAAAATAATATTAATCATGATTATATACAGTATCTCTACGACGAACATTAGAAATATATGAGCACAAACCAGAAACACGGCACACCGTAGTAGCATTAGTACATACTGTTTAGCGATTATTTACAAACTTAATATCTGGGTAATTGCGTCAGGAGGCTGTGATTTTGCTTAGTCGTATATCCCAAATTATTAACCAAAGAAAATAAAATGTTAAGCCCTGCTGAAAGACAGCGCTAATTTAATGGCTACAGCTAATATGATCCCCAATCTTTATTCCCTTAGATTTCCGCTATGTGAATTGTAGGCGAAAGCTAATTAAAACTGTCACTGTCGCTGATGAACGAACGGACGGACGGATAGATGGACGGATGCTAGTGCTATTCAACAAGCAATGCAGTTATGCAAAGCAATGCAAGTTAGTAATGCCGTAATTATGACAAATGAACTAATCAATAAATACATTAATGACTGTACAAACAAATGAAACATGTCATATAGGCCAATCAGGCACCAGTACATTATATTAACGGGCGAGTAATATGCTTCAAAGGTCTTTTGATTTGCAGCATTACATCACAAATTACAATAAACAAAGAGGGGTCTACTTATCAACATAAGCACACAACGAATACATTATTAGCCCGCATCTTGTTGCACGTCCCGAACTAGTAAGTGAGTGTATAGATAAACAAATAAATAGATAAATAAATAAATAAATAAAAAACAAATAAATATAAAGAGTATATATTATAATAATAAATAAATAAAATTGAACTGTTCAGCAACTTGTCTCGTTAATGTGCACAGTCTCCGATGAATCGCTCTCGGGCAGGTAACCAAGGTTATCAAGCCCGCCGCTACAACTACTGCATTTCGACAGTCGGTCAGGACTCATATGACCACCCTGATGGCCGTCTGCCGGATGCAGCGCTATGTTAGACTCATCCTCAAAGTCAAAAGAGGCAGACATGAGGCTGGAACTGGTGGAAACAGCCCGATCCTGCATGGACAAGGACCGAGACAGGACGGATGCCTCTCTATCGAGTGACATCAGCGACTTCGGGGTTAGAATCAGCTCGCTGTGACACGGTAACGGCAGCTCGTATGTCGGCTGTCGTTGGACTGGCCGCGGAGTAGCTGATACGGCTTCGCCCTGTGCAGATGGCGACACCTTTCTAACCTGACGAGAAGCAGGTGATGACACTTCCCCACCATTTTGGCTAGTAGGGTGAGAGACTCGTTGACCCTGTTGAACAGCAGAGACAGACGCATCCCCACCACTTTGGCTATTAGGGGGAGAGAATTTTCGAGCCTGTTGAGAAGTAGGGACGGACACATCTCCAGCCTTTTGGCTAGCAGAGGGAGAGGATTTTCTAGCCGGTTTAGAAGTAAGGACGGACACATCCCCACGACCATGATTAGGAGGAGGTGACACTATTCTACCTTGTTGAGAAGTAGGGTTTGAAAAATTCTCGCCTTTACCAGCTTCGTTTTTGTTTTCACTGGCTACCTTCTGATAAGGAGAGGCAGTGTTTTCGGTGACAATGGGCTCTTCAAGCGACGACTTTGCTTGGAAGAGTGATGCTCTCTTCTGCCACATCTGCTGCTGCAAGGCGGACATGGTAGCACTTGAAGGCTGGCTCTCCTCGGTTGCTCCTAGTTCACTCGAGCTGTCCACAGATGCATCCCAATCATCCTTACCCTGCTCTCTCTTTGTTAGTGGTGCTACCCTTGTTTTGATCCCCAGTCGCTCCTTGCCACTCCTCCTATCTTTTCTGGTTCCCTTCTCATGCAATTCATCAACTGATATGCCAGATTCTTGACTTCCTGGTCCATTTGGATCTAAATATTAATAAATGTACATATTAAAGATGCATAATGTCAAGAGCGTATAAAGAAGGAGAGCGTACAACTGTGAAATGCTGAAATCAGTATTATTGATCAGCTGTCCTACCTTGTTAATATAAAACAAACCGCATGTCCCTACGATGCCCCTACGCTGAGATAATGAGCGGTGAAAATCTGGTATTTTCGCCGAAAACCGACTCGAGATCACTGTTTACTGTGACTGTCTCTCGCTTTGAGATAACTTCGGAAAACCTCGCGTGTTTCCCTCTAGTTTCCGTCAATGATTGACAAATGGAATGAATGACGTCTGTTATTGATTGCCATAGTGATGACCCCCACCTGTGCCCACCTCACGCTGGATGTATAGTAAACTCTGTAGTACTGACGTGAGTCAGCACTACCATGGCGCTACACAGCGGCGACCGGATCAATACACTAGCCACAAAGCGAGAGACAGTCACAGTAAACAGTGATCTTGAGTCGATTTTCACCGCTCATTATAATATCTCAGCGTAGGGGCATCGTAGGGACATGCGGTTTGTTTTATATTAACAAGGTAGGACAGCTGATCAATAATATTGCAAAGATTCGTCAAAATAAAACAGGAAAAGTTTCTTAATTCGACAAATACTGCAACATGGTTTCAGCATTTCACCGTTGTACGCTCTCCTTCTTTATACGCTCTTGATAATGTACAGCCATGTATACTTTTATGCTGTGATCCAATATCATTTGTTGTATGTACTCTGAAGAATCAATGCTATAAATTACCATTGCAGTGACATAACAATTATTATTATGGAGCTTTTGATAATTATAACTTGTTATTATTGTTATTTTAAAACTACACGTGTTACTGTGTTAATTTTAATTGGCCTCAATAGCAGTTTACATTGTTATTGATTATTTATCAACAACTCGGTACCCACATGTAACTTAGCATCTGCTGGGGGCAGCTTACCATTCTCGGGAACAGGAGTGTTTTTTATTTTTACGTCCATGTAGCCGCCAGCATTCTGTTCTGCTTCGTCAAGGAACGAGTTAGGAGAGGTTGTGTTCTCAATCGCAGAATCTGCATGCTGCTCTTCACACGCACCTGTCTTATCATCTACTGTGAATCGACAAACATTATTATTATTATATTAGTTATACTTACTCTGGCAAAAATTTGATAGACATTGATGTAGAAGGAAACATATGGAGGAAAAACTGCAAGGTATATTTAGTATCATAGATGTCACTAACCTCTTTTTTAATATTTAATTTCTACTTGTAAATGGATATAAACAATGAATCGGATAAGGATGTTAAACAACTGCACAACAAAGAGCTCATGAGAAATCTGATGTGTAAATAGTCATGCCTGTAGCTGGCACAGGACATGATACATCCAGTATAGTCATTTGTTCTTTGAGCAGATGCAGATACTGTTTCAACATACAGTCACCGACTCGATCACAGTTCAAATAACAATATAAATATGGTCGCAAATCTAAGGATTCTCACCATTCTCGTTGATGGATCTCATTTTGGACAGGCGGCTCCTTCTCTCTGCTGTCTCTTGGTTCAACGACTGCCTAATAGAGATCTGCGTGCTCTGTTTTGATCCTAAAACATTATGATTCGTACTTCCTGACTTAACTTTTTTGAACAAGTATCAATCAATAAACCTGCAAGTAACGGTGCCTAAGAAAAACGCTAACAAGGACAAGCAATAAAAGCCAATGTCTATTTGATATCAACTGCCAACTCTGCATGACAAAATATTCATTTTCAATTTCATGAAAAACTACCTATTTTACGAAGTTGTGTGAAATTGAGCAATCTACTACCAAATGTGTAAATTATTCAATAAATAAACAGACATAGATAGATAGATAGATACACAGACAGACACACAGACAGACAAACAGATGGACAAACAGACACACAGACAGACAGACAGACAAACAGACAGATAGATAGATCAATCGATCGATAGGTAGATAGATAGATAGATAGATTCAGAGATGGATGGATAGATGGATAGACGGATGGATCGATCGATCGATGAATGGATGGATGGATGGATGGATCTATGGGTGATGGATGGATAGATAAATCACAGTTCACTATATTTACCTTGTTGAGTAGTTTCTACGACAAGCAGCTCATCTGTGCCACCGGTGTTGCTACCATCTGGGCTGGGATGCTGCTCAACAGATGATTGCCGATCCATGGAAAGCTGCGGTGGCAGTGTAGATGACGTCCTGCTTTTCCTACCGGTGAGTATCTGCGTGACCTCTCTAAAGTGAATCTCAGGATTCTTGTCCATTGCCTACAAATCATATGAATCATTTACACGGTGCCAGTATTTGACGTGTGTAGTGTATACATGGGCACAATATGTACATTGTAAATCACATACTCTGCCTTTTTTGCTCCTAAGGCTCCTAAATATTCTCCCTTTCCTTTGCCTTTTGTCAATCATACACATTCTCCCTTTCATTTACTCTTTTCCCTTCTTTCTATCATCTACCTTTACCCTCTCATATGTACCTTCCACTGTCCTACACGCCGTTATAGTAGTTATAGGCTTTATTATCTTGGTTGTCTCCGTGTATATAGCATATGGTATTATGGTTGTACTAGGGGTGCACACGGGGGTAGGTAAACACAGTATTAGTGTTTCTATACTATGTATACTATGTATACTATGTATAGTATGTATACTATGTATACTATCGCTCTTGATACTATGTATGTTATGTATACTATGTATACTATGTATGTTATGTATACTATGTATACTATGTATAGTATGTATACTATGTATACTATCGCTCTTGATACTATGTATGTTATGTATACTATGTATACTATGTATACTATGTATGTTATGTATACTATGTATACTATGTATACTATGTATACTATGTATACTATGTTACAATGTGTACTATGTATACTATGTATGTTATGTATACTATGTATACTATGTATACTATGTATGTTATGTATACTATGTATACTATGTATGTCTCTAAACACATATGAAGAGCTTATTTGCAAAACTGCTTACGTCCACTTTCGAGAATTGAGAGAAACGACAAAAACAATAATTTGACAAATGTGGTTTATCAATTTAAATCAATTTTAACATTGTTGAGTAATTATGAGGCATAAGTCAGAAATAACAGGTTCTCGGAAATCATTTGCTGTTGAATTATTTATTAGAATTAATTAACATAACTGGAATACATGGATGTGAGCAGCTTTGAAACCAAAGTCCAATAACAAACACTAAGGTTGTTCTAGGGGTGCACATGAGGGTAGGCAAATACATTAAAGGGACTATAATTTTTTTTACTATTTACGGTGACGTAATCACTTTAAGTCTGTTACTCTAAGTATCTGTTATTGAAACTAAAGTCCAATAACAAACACAAAATAATTAATTGACTTATTCCATAAGAATATTTTAGTTAAATCAATTGACCAGCTTGACTGTAAATTTAATAATACAATACATTTCTCATTACTGAGATGTTATTGGGTTGGGTGGGTGTGGGGAAATGTAAAGCCTAGTCTACACTAGCAAACTTTAGTTTGCAAACTCGAGCAAACTCCGAGTTTGGCAAGAAAAGTTTTCCAACGATTTTCAGTGTAGACCAGTTGACAAGGTTCGGCAAACTAGTTTGCAGAAGTTAGGCCGTACACCTTCTTGATAAACTAGTTTGCTGAGGTTTGGAACAACTCAGCCAATCAAATGACAGTTTGTAGTCATGTGATCCTGCAGATAGACAAAATAGCAGCCTCCAGTAAAGTAAAGAAATCAGACAAGGACTGGAGTTTCCAAGAATTTGTTGATTTAATTCAAGAGTATGAAAAGTAGCCATTCACACATACTCTAGCTCTTCCTGTGATTCTCCATTGTTTTGTACTTATTGGAGGGAAATCGCCTCTTTTTCCCTCCAATTTATGTAAACTTTCAGAAACTTCACAAAATAAAAGTTTTGCAAAGTTTGTTCAAGTTTTATAGTGTGGACAGGCACCACAAACTTCTCCAAACTTTGGCAAACTCTGAGTTTGCTAAAGTTTGCAAACAAAAGTTTGGTGAAGTTTGCTAGTGTAGACTAGGCTTAAGCACTCATGTCTGAAAAGTATACGCACACAGCCTGTGATTATTGTAGAGCATTGGTCCTGAGAACAATATATATACATTGTTCGCAGCAACATATACAATGTATACGTCATGTATACATTGTTCTCAGCAACATATACAATGTATACGTCATGTATACATTGTTCTCAGCATAGGTCAAAATGTTAGAGGGTGTTGTTGATGGATATAAGATATTTTGCAACTGGAGGTGATTTAATTGTATGTAAGCAGTTTTGCAAGAAAAAAGTAGCCTACACGGTACATATGTTCACAATCATATTATACATTGGTGGTTTAAACTAATTTTTGAAAAAAAAATGGATGTAAGTAGTTTTGCAAACAAGCTCTGCATGGTATTAACTGAATGAAATCTACAAATGCCGCATAAAAATAAGCATGGCCAAGTAAGCATTCAATGGGAACCTTCGAGCACATGTTGCCCACGTTCATAACCCTATTCCGAATTCTAATTCATAAACTAAATGTAATCGTCATTTTTCACGACAACTCCCTCTGCCCCTTTCTCTCTCCCTCGCGCTCTCTCTCTTCTTCCTTTATGTTATACTTATTCCTTACTGTTATAGTAACTACATATCCCCGCCTATCTATTTGTAAAAATTTGTGAATGCCTTTCGGTGCCTTCTTCCTGCAGTTTCTCAACCATCCGTTCTGGTATTCAACTCTCTGGTGATTGTATAATGATAATAAACATAACCATGCATGCATATATAAACTCATCAAACATTTGAGAGCTGACGCTGTGAGTTTAGTACTTGCATGTCTGTATGCGAGTTAGCACACGGTGAATGCAATTACCACGTACACTTGCTAACAGCTTAATATCATGGGATAATAATGACATTATTAATAATGTTAATTGTTAATTAATTGTCATTGCTAATTAATTATAACATTGTTAATAATGTCATTATTAACTCCTGTTAATATTACACAGGACCATTTCAAAAATTGTAATCAGATGTTGATTGTCCTTTGTGGCCTCCTAAATTTGTTGTTTACTCCTAATTTGAACCATGGCTAGAGTACAGCAGTAAGTATAGCGACTAGCTATGTTCATTACCTCTGCCAGGGGCTTGGCGGAGGTTATGTTTTCACCGGCGTGTGTTTGAGTGTTGGTTTGTGGGTTTGTGTACGCTCGCTGATTGGCTGATTGGCTCGCCACCGCCGCCGCCGCCGCGCCGGAACCGCCTGTATCATACAGGTTAAGCCTAACAGAAAAAGTTATGGACGGATTGTCATAAAATTTTCAGGATACGTCAGAAATGGGCTAACTTAAAATTGATTACATTTTGGTGGTGATCCGGATCCAATTAATTATTAAATTAAATTAATTAATTAATTTGTTCACTTAATTAATTAATTAATTAATAAAAAAATTCACATTGAGAGAATTCAGCTGCCTTGGCGGAGGTCTGTGCTCTCCGAGTGCTCTAGTAATATACATGGAACACTCCGACTCACTCACTCACGATTGCGTCGAATAATAATGTATACTGAGTACACTATACCAGCCAGCACATGTATACTGAGCCAGCTATGAGAAGAGAAGCTATAGGTGGTCACGTGAGCGGATATACGTGCAGTGCACACGTGCTGGAGTTTTTTGGTTTTGATTAGGTTTGAGTTGTTAGCATGTTTAGACGTGTCTTGATTGGAATAAAGAGAAAATTATTAAAAAAAATATTCAGTAGTTTGTTTACGGAAGTATCAGGAACACACGCTGTGAGAGAATATATCAGGACATTGTTGTCTCATACGGTAGTTCCATTGATGGTCTGTTGTATAATCGCATTTGCATTTCATTTATGTGTTTAGGTCTGTTGTATAATCGCATTTGCATTTCATTTATGTGTTTAGGTCTGTTGTATAATCGCATTTGCATTTCATTTATGTATTTATTACGCAGGTGATTAACACTTTCCTTATACGTTCGCCCGTAATCTTGTTACGCACTTCGCCAACCACACAATTATATGGTAGCAACGGTGGGATGCGAAGTTGCGAACACACGTCTCTGAAGGGACTGGTGAACTCAGTGAGCTCAGAGCATCAAAACAGCACCCCGCAGGCATAGAAACAAATATTATGTAATAAACCCTAACAGTAATACTGAACGTTTGGAATCAATGAAATTCATCAGGAGTAAGTAATATAAAATTGAGATTATATAATATAGTTTTATTAGTGACCCCGCGATAGCTCTAGATATAATTGTGCATTATTTTGGGCAATGTTCAAAGAGCTTTATGGTGCCTTTAAATGCAAGCAATGTGTATAATTGTGGCATCTTTTCGGGTAATTTAGGAGTTTTTGGCACTTTCAGCAAACCTGGCAACAGGATCGAATCACATGTTCATCAGGGACAGATCTAGCCTTCAGGAGATGGGGGTTGATATTTGAGTGGAGGCATGCCTGTGCACGCGGTGCTAGCTAGGGTGGTGCGTGGGCATGCCCCCTCCCACCTGGAAAATTCAGGCAGCTGTGTGGTCACCGGAGAAATCCCCAGTTTCTACCAGCCTGCAGACTGACTTTTTTATTATAGGCCCCATTTTACTAGTATCATAACATTAGTCAGTGGCTGAACGGGGGGTTGCAACCCCCACAACCCCCCTCTAGATCCGCCACTGTTCGTGCAACCCATGGCTTAACAGTCTATATATAAAGGCTAGCACCTCACCTGGATCACTGCTGACACCATCCGGGGTGTATTGTGTGTACCAGGCTTCACTTCTACCTCCTCTTCCAGTGATGGCTTGCGCTCCCGCTTCGCATTCTGTGCCATGATTTTTCTGTGGATGGAAAAAGTAGACCAACAATATTTAGCGACCAATAGCCACTAATAGATATTTTAGCTGCTTAAGGTTTCATAGTGTGCAATGGGAGAACAAGGGGGAACAAGATCGTTTAGGCAGCTAATGCAAGGAAAGTAAAAATAATAGCAATTAAGCTCTTACTTTGCCCTGCGTTTCAAAGCATCTTGTGCATCAGGATAGTCCTTGATCGCCTCCTGAAGGTCGTTCTTGCTAAGTATGAACAGATTGGAGAAGCCTCGGGATCTAACGTCTGCAGTACGGCGGTTACCGCCAGCCAGCGACAGCAAACTGAAATCCAACTTATCAGTAAGTCAATGTGCACAATACCCAGAAGCTATCATTGTAACAAGTATCATATTACAGGGAGGAAATGCTGCACCTACGTATTTGTACACTTGGTATTCATACACTACAACGTTTTACCAATTCTTAACAGGTTATTTTGAATTTTATCTGTATGCATTTGAAATATATTTGCACTATAATTCTGCTTCACCAGTCATCATGAATATTTAAATTACTATTGTATTTAGCAGGTACGTGTGAAAATCAAATTGTTTTCTGATTAATTTAGATAGAAGATTTATCATATAATAGAAGCACTGTTGAATTAACCAATGGGTGCCAGAGAATAAAGTATAGGTGTATACCTTCATTTACCAATATAGACAGCTGGCCATGTACAGCGCTTGTATTTAAATGCAGCAGTACGATTTCATACACCTGTCACACTGACCACAGAAAAATTGGTCTCGAGAAGCGAGCATGCAGGGCTCTCTTGGCACTCACCTTATCTCTCCAAACACACTCCCCGAGTGCAAGGTTGCCAGCACTATATCATTTTTCTCTCCTCCCATCACCTGTACTTGGCCATTGTTCACAATGTACATCTCGTGCCCAACGTCACCCTAGAAACCACAGAAATGACCATGCGGATTTCAGAGCTCGCCGGGCCTTTACTGCATGCCGGGTCTAACATGGCTTCAAAGCGGAAGCTAATTTGCAGCATACCATAGATTCGCAGACATGCCCTAATCGCATTATTATGCCAATTTTAAGCAGTGTTAACCTCTGATAATCCCAACACAGACATACTGTGTTTTCACAGCTTGATGTCTAGATCTCTGAATCGATGTTAATCTCTGATATCTCAGATATCAGTATCTCTGTGTATTTGGGTTGCTTATGACATGTGTAAACGATTCCACTTGATACAACCCCCTATCCGGCCCTCCCTTATCTTTTCACATATCCATCCTTCTTGCCTTCTAAAGTTTCTGAGGAGAACCCTGGACATGGTTCGTACAGGAGGACTGAAATTTTTTCCAAGGACTTTTCAAGGACTTTTCAAGGACATTTTATTGGAAATTCAAGGACATTTTAACAGACATTTTATCGGAATTCATACACAGAACAAAACATACCTGGATTAATTTAATAACCCCATAACTGCATGTCACCTCTAAAACTTACCTGGATCACATTAATAAACCCTTCTAAACACTGTCACTTCTACAACATACCTTGATTTCCTGACTGATTTTACTGACTTACTGTGATTTATTATCATCATTTAACTGTCTATCGTGTCTATAGCTTTTTAAGCTCATCTAACGCAATTTTTATTGAGGTTTGCACATTATTGATGGTACAAAATTTCTTTTTATTACAGGCAAGGATTCTTTCTAAAAATTCAAGGACATTTTCATGAAATTCAAGCACTTTTCAAGCACAAAATCAACATTTACTAAATTCAAGTACTTTTCAAGGACTCCCCTCAAATTCAAGGACTTTTCAAGGACTGTGAGAACCATCCTGACGTGATGCGGCCATGATGCCGAGGCTCGCCGAGGATTGACACTTTGTGTCTTCCAATCACAGCCTACGCCGCACCGCTCTTTGATCTTTTTATAGGTGGGGACCCATAACAGCATGGAATCGCCGATCTCAGGAACTAGGGCATTCTTCTAGGCTAGAACGGTTTCCTACGATAGAGTTTGGCACAAATACGAAAATAACACGCTGTTTAGCGCACTGCGCTAGTTCTTTCTGTTGAATTTTCGCATCTCCATAAACAGAGTAAGCCCCGCCTTCTTCGTTGATGGACATGAATGGGGCATGACCGATTTTACCGGTTCCAGTACCTACCATTTTTTGCCGGCCTATTTACTTTTCGTAAATAATGAAATGCCCGGCCGATGCATTTCGCATCGAAGAGAAAAATTTCCCGCATTTTCACTCGCTGTCGAAAGTGAACGAGTGCGTCATTCATTGAACATTTTTCATCAAAATACAGCCAATGTTTACATGCCACAGCACCATCTCTTGGATGTTTTATAAGTAATTAATATGGGGATTTTCAATAAAATAATGCGTTTTTAATGTATTTACCACGATTTACGTATAGAAACTATATGTTATTTTTACTGATTTCTCCGTATCTTACCTTGGAATTTTCATCGCCTTTCAATGCTTTTCCGTAGATTTTTCAGCATTTTCTGCGTGATTATTATTTTGCGCAGACACTCATATTGGAAATCCTCCAACATTTTTACTTCTTCCTTAGTTAAGTTAGTCCATGTTTCACTGTTATTTAGGAAGGAAGGTCAAACTGTGCATTCGTATAATTTCACTCTTGCTTCTATAGTACGATTTCCATAATTTTCCTCTTCTGCCCATGATAATAATATTATTTCGCTCATCATGAAACGGCTCATTATCAACATTTTTCAGTTCGGACTCTTATCATATCGTTATAACCCCCTATATCATTAATTAAATCCCCTAGGTATGAATATTTGGTGCATTTTTTGATTACTTGGTTGCCTATTGGCTTGGTTGCCTATTGCCTTGGTTGCCTTGGTCTCCTTCTCTATCCTTTCTTTGTTTGTGAATTTTATAACCATTGTATTTGTTTTGTTCATATTAAATTCTAATCTTTTTGATTCAGCTAATCTGGAGCATGACTGAGCGATTTTTGTTACTGTTTTATAATCTCCAATTCTTAGAATATCATCCATATATAATCATTGTCATCTTCTAAAACTACAGACCATCCTCTGACCGCTGTGGAGACGTGCGCCGGGCCACGAATTTGGCGCACGTCTCCACTGCGGACAGCGCTTCATACTTGAACATCCCCGTGGTTGCGTGCGCATATCCCGCGGAACTGCGCGTCTCATCCGCGCGGAGCGCTTAGGATTCACAGCAAAGCTGTGCCACGCAATCTTGTATCATGTCTCTCTGGTTTTATGTAGCCCCGTATCTATAGCAACCACTCCACCTAATACGTCTTGATGTGCAGGCATATTTTGAATGAGAGGAGACTCGCGGGGCATCATTTTCTAGACGTTTCCAATGATGTGTGTGAGATTGAAGTGTATTTATACCTTTCTACAGACACTGTCTCCAGGCAAGAAGAGTACAGGTTTCAGCTTCAGCACCAATGCACGCAGCAGTCCTTTCTCGCAGTCCTTTATGAGATGGGAAGATTAAGTGAGTGAGTGAGTGAGTGAGTGAGTGAGTGAGTGAGTGAGTGAGTGAGTGGTGACGCAAGTGGGTGAGTGGTGAGTGAGTGAGTGAGTGAGTGAGTGAGTGGAGTGAGTGAGTGAGTGAGTGGGCGGGTGGGTGAGTGAGTGAGTGAGTGTGTGAGGAGTGAGTGAGTGGGTGAGTGAGTGAGTGTGTGAGGGAGTAGACGGGTGGGTGAGTGAGTGAGCGTGTGAGTTAGTGAGTGAGTGAGTGAGTGAGTGCGTGAGTGAGTGAGTGAGTGAGTGAGTGAGTGAGTGAGGGAGGGAGGAGGGAGGGAGGGTGTTCGAGTGGGTGAGCGCGTGAGTGAGTGAGTGAGTGTGAGTGAGTGAGTGAGTGAGTGAGTGAGTGAGTGAGTGAGGGAGGGAGGGAGGGAGGGAGTGGGCGGGTGGGCGAGCGTGTGAGTGAGTGAGTGGGTGAGTGAGTGAGTGAGAGTGAATGAGTAGTGAGCGACTGAGCGAGCAGGTTAAACTGTCATAGCAACACTCAATTTTTAATCTTGACACCAAAATACTTCAAAACTTCAAAACACAAAATGTAAAATCAACTTTGAAGTAATCAGTATTGTACAGTATGTATATACACAGACTGACACTTTAAATAGTAGTTAGTTCTTATATATATATATATATATATAGAGAGAGAGAGAGAGAGAGAGAGATAGAAGAAACATATAGATATAGATATAGATATACAGATATTATCACCTCACTTGAATACAATATGACACTTTTACCTGAAACAGTTGTACTTTTATGAGAGTCTGGTAATGCACATTGATAGCTAAATCCGTCCTCATCTTCAAGGGTAAAATATCCAGTGCTGCATTTTCATCTGAAATGTGGTTAAAATAAATAAATTAAAATGAATTAGTCCTTAATATCGGTAAGAAACTAGTTTGCGCCTAATTTTATAGGAAGTTAAGAACACTATCTTCAATGATCTGCTATAGGACCTATACATAGGGGGAACTGATAATGGATACACAGTATCAAGAGCTAATAATACCTAGAGTGTACAACGGAAAAACGGGAAAATAGTGCTATCTCACGACAACATTATTCTACTTTGCCTGCGAGTCTAGAATAATTTTATGGTATTCCATTAAGCAGAATTCTTTGCTCTCTAAAACAAGACCAACCGCTTGTCAATACGATACTCCTAGGCTGAGATATTGGCTCCTAAAGCCCGGCGCACACGTGGCGATTTTTGTTGACAGAACCGGCGATTCTGTCGCCAGCAACAAAATCGCCGAGAAATCGCCACGTGTGCGCTGCCCGGCGTCACCGATTTTGACGCCAGAAACTCGTCGCTGGAATATCAAACATGTTTGATATTTGTTGCCCAGTCGCTGAACAATCGCTACGTGTGCGCCGCACTAGCGATGGATCCCGGCAACAGTTTTTGGATTAACCAATCAAATGCATGATTTGAAGCACGTGATCAAATATTGGCAGCGCCCGTGGTGTGGTTTGAACAGGTCACGTACAGTTCATACAGTGGTATGTCGCTGATAGACGGTTGAATTGTCGCCGGGTGGCGCACACGTGGCGATTTTTATCGACAGTACCGGCGATAAAAATCGACGGTACTGTCGATAAAAATCGCCACGTGTGCGCCGGGCTTAAACCTCCCCTCCCACATGCCTCACACCGCCTCGCATCCCGGTTATTCAGCCACCTCCACGCCCCTAAGCATTTTGGCTATCGGATTCCGTCACCACTTAGAGCGCTGATAATTGATGTCACATGCCCAAATTTGGTACTCTTACTACACCATAATTATAGTAACTGAGCTGCGTTGTAAAGACGTTAAAAAAGTTAATTTAGAAAACATTGTCGGCTCCATCATGATGGGCATTAGCCGTGCTAGGAAAGATAATGGGAGATAAGGGCATAGGCGATGCCCCCGAAAGTCACCTATGATAACCGAAACGCCGTTCATTCATAAAGTTATCGCGGAAAAACCGAACTTTCACAAAGCAATGCTTAGGGGCGTGGAGTTGGCTGAATAACCGGGATGCGAGGTGGCGTGAGGAATGTGGGAGGGGAGGTTTAGGAGCCAATATCTCAGCCTCGGAGTATCGTATTGACAAGCGGTTGGTCTTGTTTTAGAGAGCAAAGAATTCTGCTTAATGCAATACCATAAAATTATTCTAGACTCGCAGGCAAAGTAGAATAATGCTGTCGTAAAATAGCACTATTTTCCCGTTTTTCCGTTGTACACTCTAGGTATAATTAGCTCTTGACAGTATGGATAATACATAGTGGAAACTGGTCAATGCTCAGTCTTCTATATTTTTTTACACATACTTAGTGTCTTCTGCTGCTCCCAATTATAATTGAACCACAGCTTGACCCTGTCTTGCAACTCATTGGGCACCTTTAGGTTCTGCATGTAGTTTGTTGTGATATCCATTGTCTTCCTGTATTCCGTTTTCATCATCCTTGAAGCTTGGAATATATCTCGCACCTGTAGTGTAAATAGTTTTGATTTGTTTTGTTTTTGTCCATTGATGTATCCACTCAGTAAAATATACACCCTCTTCAAATAACCATCGCCTAATCTGAGGGCAAAAAATCAATTAAGTGTGGCAGTAGCTCTGGTCATAGCCTATATATGCTCGGGAGGTCTGTAGAGATTCAATGGCCTGTGAAATCAACCACATGCTTATCTGGTGAGTGAGCTGTTTGCCTTTGCTGTAAAATAACATATGATTTACTTGCAAATACAAATAAATAATATGTAAGTAAATAAATAAAATAATGAAGCAAGTAAATGATATGTTATTTTAACATATAAAAAACACATACAGAATAACGGGTGTAGAATATAACTACACGTGTACACTCGCACAGTAGCTATAGTGTCACTGTCGAGTGACTTGCCTTTATCTCGCGTTTATTCTATTCACACCGTTACTCTAACGTGTTGCATTTATTATAAGCTGTGACTTCATCACCCCCGTAAAGTGGGGCATGGCACCGATATCCTTGCGTTGTTGTCTAATCACTATTGCCGCACCGGAGCCTGGAAACAATGCTGGGGAAGTGTGCAGAGTCAGTAGTGTGACTAGTTGCTGGCTATAGCAGAGTTCTAGGCATCACTAATTGCCAGGACTGAATAACGTTCTAGCAAATTCGGACGTACCAGGTAGGTGCCCCCGAATGCCACGCGCAGTCAGAACACACTAAAACGCTACGATTGGTGCTCACTATGCGAACGAGTGAAAATGCAATTTTTAGCAACGTTATTAGCAAGTGGTAGCAATTTTGGATCCAAAGAAATGCAAGACGTGCAAAAACCATTCGATCCAGATTAGGTCAGTTCCAAACAAAGAGGTACATACGAACCTCTAGTTTAAAAAATGCTTACCTGACCAATGAGCAAAGCAAACACGAAAACACCCATCAGCCAAGCAAGTGTCATATACATGAACTCGTTGATATTCTGAGGAGTTGGATTGTTGCCAATAGAGGTTGCCGTCTTTGTAGCAAAGTAGAAGCAGCGAATATATCTGAAAAGTCAACGCAGTTAATTATAGCAATTAAGTTGGCTATACAATCACATAATACCTAACTTATGGAAGCAAGTAACTATGTAATGTAAATTTACTCACGCATTGCCCTGGTCATTGTAGACCCACTCGTTATATATACCCTTGCTTTTCTCAAACTCAGAGAAAGCATAGAAGGCGCAGCTCTGGATGTGGATCATAAACAGCATGTATGTGCAGGTCTTAAACACACGCACAAAATGCGGTGCCTTGGCGATAGCGTCCAGTCGCGTGTAACACTCCCAGAACGTTTGCACCTACCACAGCAGAAAAATACGTTACTTGCAGCGGCTATATAACTCTTAACGCTACATCAAAGAGGCTGATAGTGGGTATTCTATCTAGTAATACGGGTCACGCACGTACATGGACGTTGTGTGCCCCATGTTTGCCTACGTCACACTCTATTAATCCTGTTAATCTGTGTTAATGTAATCGGACATGCCCCAACGCAACCTATTACATTTGTAATTCTCAGTTGAATATTAAGCTTACTTAGCATCTAAGGAATTCCTTTGTAGATTTAATTATTGTAGCCAACAAAGATGTTGTTATTAGTATATGGCTATGATGCTTACCTTAAGCAATCGAGGGAACCTCAACATGGGCTTGACTCCAGTGACAAAGTAAAAGATATCCAATGGTACCAGACTCGCAACATCCAGCTATTATTAAAAAAAACGTGGCATTGCAGTGTCCATCAGAGAGACACAATTATGTATAAAGGTACTACAATTAGAGTATGCTTCACTATACCTATATATTATATTGTCAATTTACTCTATCTATCTCACTTTACTATCTATTGACAAATACGAGCACTTACAAAAATTCGCGTTTACACGGACGGACGTTATTACATTCTGTATTCTAGAACTATATACAATTCCCATATTCATTATTAATGAAAGTGTCAATGACACTGTAGCTCACCACAAAAAAGGACACAAATGAGTGAGTGAGAAGAAGTCAGTTTTAATTGAGCAACCATTGACGTACATTATAGAAACGAAGAGTATATATGGGAGAACTCCTATTATATACTCTTGATAATTATATGTGTAATTTTGTATGTGAAAATAAATGTTTGAAATGTGAAAGTCTGAGATGTGGGCGAGTGATGGCGTTACACCTAAATGATCGCCATTTAACGTTTTTATAATATTCAGATTTAGGCACTGCCTAAAAGCGGAGCTCCCGATGTGTAACGTGTAAGATTGAGAGGATACACTTATTCCACGTAGCTGCTATATACCACGTGACAATGGTTTTTCCCTGCCCATAACACAACTTTTGTCAAAGGTTAATTGGTTGCATGGAAGTGTTTACTTCGTATATCGAGTTTTTCTAGGCGGTAGCACACGGTTGCCATCTATATAATAGATATCTAATAATAATATCTATAATATAATCTAATAATATGTTATAACTTGCCGTATATCGCAATAATAATTTATAAACCAAAATGAATCACAATTTGTGACGGTAGATGGCGCTATACCCGCTTTGATGTTTCTTAGCGATGGCATTCGAAATAAATAGGTTATGCTGCGTTCCGACATGTTTTGTAAAACTTTACTCTAATATAGACGTTTTATCGGCAGGGTGGAGAGGAAATACCAATTTTGCATTAAAGATATTGTCAATGAAATCTTGTAAACGAACCAGACAAGTGTGACACCACAGACTGTTATCTGCATGTCTATATAATATGCTATATAATTGCCAAAACCGACCTAATTTGCATAATTTTTTTTTCAAATATCAAAATCCCTAGCCCTTATTCATTCACATACCAAAAATGAGCAAAATCCGTTGAACCTGAACAGACTAATGGCAATTCCCATTTTTGCCAAAAAAATTGCCGTGGCTCGAAAGTACGTCAACTGGCGTGCTCCAAAATAGGACGTTCAAACCTCTCCCATAGCAGTAACAACTATACCCACTTTCAAACATGTGGGTCAAACGGTTCCTGAGTTATCGTTGACTGTAGCCAAATGTTGACGGAAGGACGGACGGACGGACGGACGGATGTACGATGGACGACGACCCATGGCAATAGCTCAGCTTGACGATGTCAAGGTGAGCTAATAAAAATGTAGATTTTACTGTTTTGAAAAAAAACTGACTCAAACATAATTTGAACAGTCCTGTACCTTGAAGTCAATCTTGCCTAAATAGTTTTTCATCATCATCTTGCGATCATCCTATAACAAAAAACATGATAATAATATATGACAGTTAAATGGAAATGAATGATTAATAGGGAGATCACAAATATTACCTTCTACCTCATATACCCTAGCTGCTTTATTGCTCGAACATATTACACACTTACTATAAATATCCCTTCATCGAGGTACACGATGTGCATCTTGATCAGCAGAATGTCCAGCAGGTAGACCAGGTCTGACAGATAGTCAAACGTCAGCCAGTACTTCAAGTTGCCGGCTGTCTGATGATGACTAAACGCAGCTCGCAGGAATATACTCCAAGCATTGTATGTGTAGCAGCAGGTGACCAGAAACAGCCAGAGAAGATATAATCTGCCTGCATTGATGAGTGCACACAATATAAGTTAGTCATTGAACGAACAATATACGGGTAGTCGCTCTTGAAGTGTAGTTCAATAGGGCCACCACGCTGAAATTAGACAAACATGCACAAATGCACACGCACACACACACACACGCACGCACGCACACACACGCACGCACGCATGCACGCGCGCACGCATGCACGCGCGCACGCACACACCACACCACAAACGCACACGCACACACACACCGACACACGCGCACGCGCACGCACACGCACACACACACACACACGCACATACGCACACACACAAATAACGTATATGTATTGACTTGAATAACTTATTTATATAACCCTGTTTTAAACGCTGCCAAAGTTGAACTTTAGTTTTGAGTAATATCTTTCTGATAAAAGCTGGATACAAGCATAATGAAATCACACACAGCCACGCCAATTAACTGCACAGTTATGCACTGACTCTCGGTGGTTAATGGTTGTACATGATATATACCTTGTGGGTCGATGGCATGCTTGCGGGGAAATTTCATGAACCGAGGCAGTTTAATCTTACGGCCACGGACAGTAATGTAAAGGGGTTCATCCACCACAGATGTACTGTCGCCTTCCAAGAATGAGTCAAGCCTCTGTCTCTGTGGCTCTGCTTCTTTATCAACATCTACATCTGTACCAATATAGAAAATGTAATAAGAAACTATATCTGAATCAAGGAAATAAAATATGATACTAATAACAGCTTGTGTATGAAATCAGAGAACGCCTAGATCATATTTTGTTATCCTATATAATTGGATAGAGGATCGCTCCTCTATTTTTGTGTGCCTAGTATGTCATATCTTATGTAATACCATCCATATATAATAATCATCCTTACACTTGATAACAGAGAGATAATAGTAATGATGAGTGTGTAATTACCTAAACGGAGGTCATGCAATCGCTCGCGCGCGCGCGTGTGTGTGTGTGTGTGTGTGTGTGTGTGTGTGTGTGTGTGTGTAGCCACGCGCCGATTGATAGCGCGTCGAGTCAGCAGCAGCCACCAGTGAGCGGCGGAGTCAGCAGCAGGCGAGTCAGTCAGCAGCCGCCACCAGCGAGCACATACATGTTACATGCTCGCGGAGGTATGCACTCTCCGTGAGTGCCCTCTGTCTAGTTTGAATATATATATATGTGTGTGTGTGTGTGTGTGTGTGTGTGTGTGTGTGTGTGTGTGTGTGTGTGTTGTGTGTGTGTGTGTGTGTGTGTGTGTGTGTATGTGTGTGTGTGCGTGCGTGCGTGTGGTGTGTGTGTGTGTGTGTGTGTTGTGCGCGCGCGCGTGTGCGTGTGCGTGTGCGTGTACGTGTGCGCGCGCGTGTGCGTGACTGACAATTTATTTAAAATTATTGGCATATTATATTGCAATTCTGTGACACATTGTATGCAAAAAAAGACAACATCTTTCAAAAGTAAATCGAAATGTCAGATCGCAAAATGATTCTGGTCAATATCAAGTTGTTATCAACTACGCAGAAGGAGTGAGAACTGACCCTCATCCTCCTCCTCTGACTCGCTTGCGTGGAGGCTGCGCCACTCGTTCCTTGATCCTCCATGCTCTTTCGGAGAAGGCATTTACCAGATTACGTAGTCCTTTTCATAAACAATTCACTTTTCTCGGAGCCGATGCTGCAATTATTAACAATAGAGAAATCATAGCACGTATTCATATTTCTAGTCACATTAAAATTACAGCTTTGCACAGAAACTAATCTCTTAAAGTGTCAATGGCATTGCCAGAATGTAGCTGTGGACAAGGTGGACGAGTTTGGGTTGTTGTCGCTTGTTGAACAGTTGCGCCACTGATGCGCGGCAATAGATGTTGGAGAACCACAGATACTTGGGGATTACGAGCTAACTTGTTCAGCAATGATAAAACCAGCGATCTAATCTGCGACCAACTCCCCAGCAGCACTGATCAAGTGATCGCAGTAAATGACTGTTATCGCGGTCCTACTAAACAGCGAAATGTGCTACTAAACAGCGAAATGTGCTACTACACAGCGAAATGTGGCAGCGAATGTGCGCGGAATGTGGCAAGAATGTGCAGGAGATGTGCGGGAATGTGCAAGAATGTGCGCGAAATGTGCAGGAATGTGCAGGAATGTGCAAGAATGTGGCGCAATGTGCATCAACAACTGCAGCAATGTATCAAAATGTGTAAAAAATGTTATACTAAACAGCGGAATGTGCTACTAAACAGCGAAATGTGATACTAAATAGCGGAATGTGCTACTAAACAGCGAAATGTGCTACTAAACAGCGGAATGTGCGCGGAATGTGTAAGAATGTGGCGCAATGTGCATCAATAACTGCCGCAATGTATCAAAATGTGTAAAAAATGTTATACTAAACAGCGAAATGTGCTACTAAACAGCGGAATGTGCGCGGAATGTGTAAGAATGTGGCGCAATGTGCATCAATAACTGCCGCAATGTATCAAAATGTGTAAAAAATGTTATACTAAACAGCGGAATGTGCGCGGAATGTGTAAGAATGTGTGCGTGTGCACGTATACGTGCGTGCGTGCGTGCGCAAGTACACGTGCGTGCGTGCGTGCGTGTGTGCAGGTACACGTGAGCGCGGCGTGCGAGCGTGCGTATGCACATATACGTGCGTGGTGCGGGTGTGGCACGTACACCTGCGTGCATGCGTGCGTGCGTGGCGTGCGTGCGTGCGTGATGTACACGTGCGCGCGTGCGTACCTGCATATGCACGTACACATGCGTGCATGCGTGCGTGCGTGCGTGTGCACGTAGACGTGCGTGCGTGCGTGCGTGCGTGCGTGTGCACGTACACATGCGTGCGTGCGTGTGCACGTAGACCTGCGTGCGTGTGCACGTAGACGTGCGTGCGTGCGTGCGTGTGCACGTACACGTGCGTGCATGAGTGTGTGCGTGCGTGTGCACGTACACGTGCGTGCGTGCGCGCGTGCGTGCGTCCGTGTGTGTGTAAAAAATGTATAAAAAATGTTATACTAAACAGCGGAATGTGCTACTAAACAGCGGAATGTGCTACTAAATAGCGGAATGTGCTATTAAATAGCGGAATGTGTAAGAATGTGGCGCAATGTGCGTCAATAACTGCCGCAATGTATCAAAATGTGTAAAAAATATTATACTAAACAGCGGAATGTGCGCGGAATAGGTAAGAATGTGGCGCAATGTGCATCAATAACTGCCGCAATGTATCAAAATGTGTAAAAAATGTTATACTAAACAGCGAAATGTGCTACTAAACAGCGGAATGTGTAAGAATGTGGCGCAATGTGCATCAATAACTGCCGCAATGTATCAAGATGTGTACAAAATGTTATACTAAACAGCGGAATGTGCGCGGAATGTGTAAGAATGTGTGCGTGTGCACGTATACGTGCGTGCGTGCGTGCGTGCGTGCGTACACGTTCGTGCGTGCGTGCGTGTGCAAGTACACGTGCGTGCGTGCGTGTGCAAGTACACGTCCGTGCGTGCGTGCGTGTGTGTGCAGGTACACGTGAGTGCGTGCGTGCGAGCGTGCGTATGCACATATACGTGCGTGCGTGCGTGTGCACGTACACCTGCGTGCATGCGTGCGCTGCGTGCGGCGTGCGTGCGGCGTGCGTGCGTTCCTGCGTGCGTGCGTGATGTACACGTGCGCGCGTGCGTACTTGCATATGCACGTACAGATGCGTGCATGCGGTGCGTGCGTGCGTGTGCACGTAGACGTGCGTGCGTGCGCGTGCGTGCGTGTGCAGCGTACACATGCGTGCGTGCGTGTGCATGTAGACGTTGCGTGCGTGCGTGCGTGCGTGTGCACGTACACGTGCGTGCATGAGTGTGTGCGTGCGTGTGCATGTATCAAAATGTGTAAACAATATTATACTAAACAGCGGAATGTGCTACTAAACAGCGAATGTGCGCGGGAATGTGTATGAATGTGGCGCAATGTGCATCACATAACTGCGCAATGTATCAAAATGTGTAAAAATGTTATACTAAACAGCGGAATGTGCTACTAAACAGCGAATGTGCTACTAAATAGCGAATGTGCTACTAAATAGCGGAATGTGTAAGAATGTGGCGCAATGTGCGTCAATAACTGCCGCAATGTATCAAAATGTGTAAAAAATATTAGAAAGTTCCCCTAGCGACAGGTAGAAAGTGTTCCCCCAACGACCACGGACAGCGCGGAAAGGAGTTCCATAGCTACCAGATGTGGGAGGTAAGCGGAGTTACGCCACACGTAACACGCACTGGGCGAAGAGAGCGCGCGCCGGCCGAGCACGTGGCGACAGGGGGGGGGGGTGCGACGCTCCGACATATGCTGACCAAGGGAGTTGCATCACCCTTGCACGTGTTAAGCGAGAAGGGGTGACAACAGCGGCACGCACCTGAGGCAGCGTGAGAGGGAGGCAGGCGCAGGATCCTGCGTCACCGGGCGAATCCTATATAAGCAGCGAGACCGTCTTCGGACGGCCACGAACGAACGCACGAACAGAGCGAACGAACAAACTCGATCTCGCCACCATGATATGTGGTGTTTTTTTAGCCGCAGCTGTTTCTGAGACATTTATTAGAAATAATGTGTGCTAACTACACGTTTCACCAGATCAGAAAAAAAATACCATTGATATACATAACACATTTCATGATAACACAGACGCCATCCTCCATATGCGACACCACTCCCACTCCCCACAAAACCATAAAATAAAATGACGACTTAATTCACCAACGATCGGCCCGCACAAACGGCATCGCATGTGTTCTATCAAAACAGCCTTTTGCGTACTAGCCAACCGTACGTGTCGGTTCAAGTCTGAAACTCAAACAAATTAACCAAATCAACACCATCATGGAGGGGGTACAGGGGGTAGCCCTACCCATCTCCAGCCTCCCTCCCCATCCTCATCGTGTCTAAATACAATTTATTTTATAAAAATATAACTAATGTTTACTTTCGCTTTCTCTTACCCTTACTTTTGCTCTTCCCATGTGTGTGGGATCACATAGACATTAACCCAAAGGGATTAAATTAAAAGTTTTGGGTTAATATCTATGGTGGGATGCAGTTTTGAAGCTATAATATGCTAGTGGGTGTGCGCATACTCTGTATCCAATGGAAGTGATGCAAGTGTAACTGAAATGATATTTAAGATGGCCAAATATGGAGCACTTGGCCGCGCATAGAAGAGAAGTGCGCGCGGCAGAAGGAAAAGAAAGAGAGAGAGAGCGAGAGAGAGAGAGAGAGAGAGAGAGAGAGAGAGAGAGAGAGAGAGAGAGAGAGAGAGAGAGAGAGAGAGAGAGAGAGAAGAGAGAGCGAGAGAGAGAGAGAGAGATAGAGAGAGAGAATATAAGGGAGAAAGAGAGAGAGAGAGAGAGAGAGGGGGGCCG